ACAATAGTTTTAAAATACCTCACATTATAACTAAATCAATATTTGTCTATTTCCCTTACACGGAAAGTTTCTCGTATATCATCGGATTTGAATTACTTATGTCGTACGCTCGATAAGTGTCTATTCTTTGTGTTATTATTAGATATATTGTTCATTTAATATAAAAATAGAACATTTATTATTTATTATAGAAGCAGAAGAGTAGATTATAGCTGTATTGTTTTATATTAGATATATAATTATATATTAATAATATAATAATATAATTATATATTTATAATATAATAATTAATAATAATCATCATAATAATCAATATAATAATTAATAATAACCATTAATAATATAATTATATATTAATAATATATATTATTTTATATTTTATATTAGATATATAATATATATATTTGCGAATATTATGACGTTCGGAAAAATGAATTTAAAAAATCCAATTGTTATCAAATTTTCTTGTACGTCCTACATAAAATGCAAGGCAGCTCTATTTCCTAATTAACGTGTAACTTATCGTATAATTACATTTTACATATTTTTCAGAGTTGCAAAAATTTACGCCGGTAATATATTAAGAGTTTCCGACTCCACAACATTTGCATTAGTACTAGAGAGAGAGAGAGAGTAGAAGCTATTACAATTTGAACCGACTAAAAAATGAAACCAAATCTTAGTACGAGCCAACAGCTGTATAGTTACCGCGAGAACATACCTCTTTATCCTATTCAAGGTAGTAATATTTCAAGTAATTACGCAACACACTTGTACACGTCGTATGCAGTCTGACTTGGGATAAATAGCGGAGTTTACGTGACAGACGCGTTGATTTTCTTCTAGGGCGTGAAAATAAACTAACACGATTCCCTCGAAACATTACGGACGGCCCCCTTGCGAGAGGCTGAATAAACGCCGCATATTTTTCATCGTAATTCCGAAATACCTCTCCGTGCATGCGAGATGTTACTTCCGCGCAAACGACCGTTATAACATCTCATATATTACAGCGTACGCCAGAAATCATGAAGAAGGGCGCAGCCGCTATTAAAAATTCAGCCCCGTGCGTATATACGCGACGAGCATGTGCGCGAAATGGCGTCCCGTTCTTCGTAAATACTGAAGAAGCTAAAAATATGCCGTAATTCGTGCATAAGACATCCCGGATACACGCGCGACACATCATCCTTGGATTCACAACGACGTCGTTCATCTATTTTTCCCACGTGTCAACGGAGGCGCGAGATTATGACGACATGGCAAAGGAGCGAGAAAAACTGCGACAATGCGAGACGCATGTCGAAAGAGAGTCGGAACAATGGGGACGAGAGGGATTGAAAAGACGAGATGAAAAGACGCGAAATGAAAGAAATTTGAAATGAGAGTCGTTGGTGCGTGCGACGAAAAAATACGCGAGGGGTTGATCGCCGCTTCCGCTCCGACAACGCGCGCCATGGAACATTTACCCTTTCGCTCGGTCGCCACCCTTTTCTCTTATCGATGCTGTCGCGAGTAACGAAGACTATGTTGCGCAGACTGCGTTACTATCGAGGTGTAACAGAGAGAGAGAGAGAGAGAGAAAGAGAGTGTGAGGGTGGTGCTGGAGAGAAGCGTGATCGATATTGCCGCTCTCGATTGAGAAATAGAAGATTTCTTTCTCCAGGCTGATAACATGCGAACGTTTATTGAAGGTTTCTAGACAGACAGATACGATGCATCGAAAAGCCCATCGATCGAGAATGAATTAAAAAATATCGCGAAAAAGATGAGGAAATTTTGTTTGATTGACACGTGTCGAATAGAATATTGGCGATTGAACGCAATTGACATTTGATATTTTAATCGATTTTCGGATATCTCGGAAGTTCTTCTTAATTCGGAATTTCTATATAAAGGTTTCGTTCGCTTATTTTACACAGCTCATTGAAGCTTATTCTGAAAATTGAAAATTAATTGTCCATATCAAAGGAAAGAGAGGAAGAAAGAGAGAGAGGGAAAAGAAGTTCCTCTCATTCATGTAAATATTTCCGATAGAAGTCTCTCAATAATTCGAAACATTTTGTGTGTTTTATATCCTACATTATTCATCATTCACAACATGAACATAATCGATAAAACGATACGAGTGCGCGCAAAAGCAGTTAATAAGCAATAAAAGCCGCGGAAAGGATAAAACAGACGATGCTCTCTCGTATGTAAGGTAAAATGGGTTGAAAGCTCAACTCGCTTATAGAAACTTCTTCCTCCACCTTTATTTTTCTTACGTCCCCGGTTTGAGGGAATATCCTAGGGCAAGATATCACGTTTTATCTAGCACAGCTGGATCTCACAGATTCAAAACTTTCCATATCGCATTACATGTATATACCGCGGCGTAAAGTAGACATGCCGATGCGCTCTTCTACGCTCGCAAAGGAACGAGTGCACACACCAACACGAATAAATATTTCATTAGATATATATGTTGCGCGTCGATATGCAACGTATACTTGTATATACGCGGTTGTGTGTATGTATTATAAAATGTATACATACGCAAGCTTGCGGCGAACACGATTCGGGGTGCGACGCTTTCCATATCTGCGTCTCGCAATCTCCGACAACAAAATTTGCCTGTCGCGCGCACAGGTGGACGATGTGCGGCCAGAGTGCGGGTAACCCGCCGTACTCTCTCTCTACCCTCGGGTACCGATATCGATTATGAAATTGCACCGGATAAAGCAAACGAGCGGCCGCCACGATGAGCTCTCGCTCAGTGGAGTCTCCCTCGTGCTTTTCGCGCGCGCATATCGGTGGTATCGTTGTTGGTCGGTTATCTTTCCGCGGTCCGAGTTCTCTGGATATGCACGCGAGAAGGGATATTCACCCCGCTCGCCACTTCACACCCCCGTATCGAGCGAGTGTTATAGCACGACGTACGTGTCACGCGTCCCTTCTTCCCTTTTACGGCGGAGAAGGATTGTCGATCCTGTCAGTTGTAGTTTCTATCATCGAGAGTTATATCTAAACTGCATATTGTATTTTCGCTCATGTACTGCGGTTACGCTGCACTATAATTCCCAATAGTCACTGAGGTCTACGGAAGCAGACATTGGATCGCATTATCGCGTTGTTATTATTTCATCAGCCGCGGAAGAATCAAGAGGTACACGCGCGCGCACAGAGGATACAGGGCGGCTTTCATCTTTTTCTTACCTCTCATCTTATCCTCCTTCCAGACACATCCGGCTTAAATTCTCTCTCATTGCGCGTTAAAGTTTCGAACCGTCCGCATCGCTCAACCCCCATAATAGACTTGACCCGGCTATTATCGTTTAACGAATGCGCATATCATGAATAGAGTAAATTTCACGATACATCGTGTCTCCGATAGCGGATTTGTTAAACTTTTCAGGGAAACGCTCATCACGATATTATTTTCGCGAAACGGAAAAGGGAGATTTTGCTGTTAATGGGCGCAAAATTGCATCGCCTGATATAGATTCGTTATATAGTTTTATCACGTTATATGTAAGTTATACTGTACTGAACGGTTAAACTGTACTCTACGAGTAACGTTATTAATATTTATTTAAACAAGTTATCTGAATATCAGAATACATTATACAACTATCCTCAGTTTATATGCGCGCTTACATTTTAATATATATTAACATGCAATATTGCGTATATGCGCGAATATACAGCTGATGTTTAGATAATCACTTATTTTCCATCGTATTTTATTTTTTCTCTGTTTATTTAGTGGGGTTCATATTGTTTTAAATTGAATATTCCATATTAAATTAAATATTTTAAGTTGAATCTTTAAACTGACGTAGTTTTCTTAATGATTTTGATTCTAAAACTAATATAGAATCTTAAATTATTCGATACATAGATCTTTATTAAGATAGCTTTCGATATATTGGACACAATGGAATAAGAAAAATTTATAAAACGAATATGGAAATTGAACTAACGATGATCACGTTGAGAGACATTTAGCCAATTTTTCATATATACATATATAGGAAAAATAATCCTAAAATATTCGCGATACCCGTATAATAGCGTAAAAATTACATGGACTTCACGACGATCGAGGAATTTGCATTTCTAATTTTTATACCGACATTCATACCGACATTCATGAAATAACATCGTCCAACGATGCAGTGAAACCGGGATTTCCGGAATCTCTGTCGCGGAATTATAATATCGAGAATTTTTTGAAAAATTCGGATCGACGGTACGGAATTACAACAAGATCTAGGTCACAATTTTTCCTTTCCAGAAAAATGTCGAAATATTTTTTCCCAGCAAACATTTACTGGCAAAAATTACTGCCATGAAAATGAAAAAAATTCTAAGAAGAGTTTCGCGTATAAAATTACAAATACAATTTACGAATTTTTCTTAAATCCTCAATGACATATAGCAATTCGATACACGAATTTGTATAATTAAAACAAATATGTTTATTATTGATTTTTCATTTAAAAGTATGGGAATAAAGTATTCCGTTTAAATTCCCGGAGTATTATCATTTACCATTCTTTTCTCACGGAAGAGGTAAAAATCCACATTTTATGGAGAAAAAAGGTCGTGGACTAGAGCGAGCTTTTACGTGAGATTCGGTACAGTGTCGCGATATTGACCGACTTCAGTAACTGTATGCCATTAGCCGTGTACTTTTTGCCTAATAGTATGAACTATTGCGGCTGAGAACTCCGAAGAAAGCTTACGTTGGTAACCTACTTTTAGATCGTGCTAGGGTAAAATCTTTTTTCCAGAATCAGGTCGATGCACGTAAAAGACGTTGTGAAATGCAAGTAGGTCAGGCATCCATAAACGAGTTTTACTCATCAAAGTAAATAAATTATTTTATAATTATCGTAATGTCCGTTTGTAATTATTCATCGAATTTATCATTATTTGAATCAACGATGAATAAAGCCTCAAGAATACGGTTTTCTAATGCCTGGTATGTGAAAGAAAAATAATTTGTACTTACTTTATTCGATTATAAACTAGCAGTTCAGCTATTTCTCGACCCAACCTCGAATAGAGAGTTTCTACAAAGACCAGCACCTTCGGATCTATCCTTAATCGAGCTTCACTACGATGGTCTGGTGCTGACGGCAGTCTAGTTGCTCCTCTTAGAGTTGAACATCGTATCGCTGGCTCCGGCCTTGTATCTCGGTGTATCAAACTGCAATAATAGAAATCATCTGTTAGTTCGTGTGTAGAAGTAGAGAGAAGATTGTATATAATTTTCGTTGAAATTCAGTTGTATAATTTTTATATTTTTGTGAACTATGACTATTTATTTAAATTTAAGCGATTTATATTTCAACTCTTGATTTTCTAACTACTATCAAATACAATATTCATTTATTAAAAATTGCAAATGGCAATCTTTAGTAGATAAATATGTATAGATTTCTCTCACACACAAGTAATACTTTTTAAGATGACGTTGAAGTTAAATTATTAATAGCATGCCTTCAAAAGTTTAAAGAATTTCTACTTTATTGATCATACATGTAATGTATTTTCTTGAACTATCTCGTATCTCAAAAGCTTTACATATTTATGAGATATTTTCTTGTTATATACATATATAATGCGAACCCCATCACATTGCTTCATCTCTCTTACGCGTCCGCGTTACAGTTTTCATGATAATACCGAATGTTCAAAGAAGGCAAAAGGAACATTTCGATTGGCTTGAGTGCACGAGCAAATTCTTCCGCCGAATTCTTCGTAACGAGCGGCCCTCGAAGAATGCATGGCAGGCAGCTCTTTCAACCTGTCCTCAAAGTTCCTCTTTCAATATAGACAGATACAGCGCGCTCGGTGTATCCGTGAGAACGCGGATGCAACAGCGACGCAGGAATTTCGGAACGTATGCGTAGCTCCACAAAGGACCCTTTAGCGTTGTTGCAACGAGCCCTTCCGGACACTAGCGTCGAGTATTCTGCGAGTTTCGTGGCATTTACCGCGCGTAAACTACGCTCATGTGGGAATAAAGATAATCTTTCTTCTCTTCTTACATTTTAACATAGTCGCTGCTATCGCGTTTCAAAGAAATAGAAGAGGATCGGAATTTTTTGGCATTCGGTATTTTTGAAAGAAATGTGATATATACCTGTATATTCGAGCAATTTTTTTCAAAAATGCATCCGCGAGAAAATAAGCAACTATTTTACGAGTTGTAAAAAGTTTTCAAAATTAAATTTCAAAAATTTTCTTTTCTTATTTAATGTTTTATTTTGTTTATAGATTTTTTTCTTGAATGTCGAATTAAATTGGATAGTGAATCTGTTTCATTTCGTAGATAGTTACAAATACTTTCCCTAGTTGCTAAGCTCCTTTATGTTGATATTTGTCACGAGCAGATTCCGCGGTGCATTATCGGCGCATGCATCGAATTAATACGCGTCCAGTAACCAGGTTTCTCGCCATAAACCATCGAAAATCGGACCTTTGTGGTAAAGCAGGATAAACCAGAACCGGTTGACGTTCAAATATGTGGAGGTATTTTCATAATAGAACAACAACTATTATAGTATACGAATCCGAATTATTGATTACAGTGCCAACACGATCAATCATTCTCATAATTGCTACACTTGCGCCATTAACACGTAAAAACCTTTATCGTGCAGTACATTGAAAACGTCAACACGAACGTTCGAAATGAACAATAGATATTATGAGCGTACTAATAAACATTGCGTATTGAATAAATCATTAATTTTCAAATTGACAAATTTCAAGAAATTTTAAGGACGCCGCAAGTTTTTAAAATGTTTAAATGTTAAGAAGATATTTTGTAATTAAAAATGAGAAATGAATATTCTTTACATCGTATTTAATTTTAATTCTGTCAAATTCTTGTTTAGAAGAAATGCAGATGTATGCAAAGTTTTTAATTAAGTAATGCAAGAAGTGAGATTGAAAGGGTTGGGAATTTCTGGCTTAGATGGAAGCGAAACAGATTATCGATGTTGCACTTACGCTTCGCAGCTCTTATCCTCTCAAGTTTACAATTTATGCACATTAGGCGTCGCGTCGCCAGACGCATGCACGAAGCGGAGCTTTGGTCGCAGTAATGTTTACGTTCGTAGTACTGCTTTAGTCGTTGTTACAGAGTGTTTGGTGTAACTAAACTCCGGGCAAATATTTTCTACGTAATGTAATCACAGGTCGGGACGTAAACCGCGCTGCGCTGCAAAAAATTCTGACATGCATAACGAAATTCGCGGCATAAAACGCAGTTCGGAAAATGCAAGAAATGAAAAAAAATGTGTATAAAATGCACGTAATATTTCTGTAATGTTGTGTTATCTGTTTGCGCGTTTCGGACAACTCGCCAAAACTCGATCAGCGAATCGATATTCGCTTATTAAAATTTCTCGTTAACATCCTCAGAGAATAAGCAGAATGTTTTGAAATAGTTTTCGGAAAAATGTGGAAACAGTCGTAGCGGAAAACAGAGATATCGATCGCGATATACATACGTATGCGTATGCATATTTTGACGGTGTATTGCCCGGTTTCTCTGCATTTCATGCGCGGGTTATCGATGCAATATTCTTGATATTCGTGTGCATTGAAGTCGTTTATTCGCACACACAAAGCCATTCGTGAGTATTGAGAATCTGCAATCCTATCCACAGTTAAGAGTGTGCGAAAGATGCTGTCTATTGGAAAAGTAAAAAGGTCACGAAACTAGCTTCTCTCTATTCCATTAGGTATGACATTTAAATGCGATTTTATACGTTTTACTTTCTAGTCAAACGTTTGCAATAATCGTGTTTTAGCTTAGCATTTCGCTTCGGATAACTCAATAATATGTTCGTGTATTTTGGAAATATGATGGAATAAATAAATCGCGTTTTCTGCTAAAATTTTTATAGCATTTCTAAAAAAAAAAAAGGTCGTGTATATTATTATACGAAACAAATATATTTGCATGATTAATAACGCGGCGGAAATTGATGCGATTAAAACAGCTCTTAAATTCTGTAGAGTTTCGCGATTCAAATAAGATTTGAAAACCATTTTTGCATTTGACAATCAATGCGATCACGAGCGTCGTAAATGTGTCTCAACGTTAACGACAGGCAGCGACGTCGTATATCTGACATTTACGACGTGTACGACGTGCAGATCCGCACGTGCGTGTCCGCCACAGAAGCTCAAGTACGTCAGTAATCTGGGACGGAAGAGATATGATGCATCTCGTGCTATCACACATCAGGCGTGGCCGCAAGTAAGCGTATTAGTACACCGAGTTATTAGAGGATACCATCTGACCTAAATTCGAGTTCCTATCGGGTCCTTATCGGTTACAGGCGTGCCGACGTGCGTAGGCACCCTTAATACGAATTTACGATAACGCTCTAAGCTCTCGAGTACACGCGCATAATTAAACTATCTCGACTCCTGGGAGCAAAGCAGCCATGGAATCTATAATGTAAGGGTTCAGAAATACATCCAATCGGAACGCTTTCATTATTCAACCATTATCCTATCATAGATATGATTGACTTGAGAACGATTGGCAAGCTTCCGACCACACCGTGAGCAAACGTCAAATGTCGATTCCGATTTAAAGCAACGTGACACGACATTACGATTGGAAAAGACCATTTATTTTTATATGGCATTTCTATCACATTTACAAAATTATTCAGGATGTTTCGACAAAAGTGAGTAGAACAAGTAAAAATAAGTCCAAATGCCTATATTTTTTCCACGATACATCTTTTATCATCATTTACTTTGTATCGATCAAATGTTATTTTCTTGAAGAAGTTTTAATTAGATAAAACAAGAATACTTTTTTTTTTAGAAAAGGATGTAAGAAAAATCTGTGAAAACATCTAAAAATAAAATAAATCTATCAACTTTCAAAGTTTTGTAAGTTTAGAAGGCTTATAGGAGATCCATCTCTAAAGTAGTATCAAGAAATTTATCGCGCTTTTAAAAATCTTTAATTAACATAAAAAAATAATTATTAAAATCTACAGAGTGATATAAAAGTTTAATTTTAAAAAATATTTTTCAAATTTAAAAAATAAATATTTTGATGGAGATAAAATTTTACAAGAACTTATGGAATTATTTTTACCTGTTTTACATTCTTACAAAAGATTGTCTTCTTTATCGAAATATCCTACATATACAATAAATTATATTAATCGCGTTAGAATTATTATAGGCACGAATTTAAAGTTTCGTACTCGAGTCCCTCGATATTGTTAGATCGAACTTTTTATATCTTTCGTCATTCCTTCGTAGATCGCATAAATATGACGTTATAAGACGTCAGAGAGAAGCCAGAAGAACTGTTTTTCACAAATCTCGCCAGGTTCTTCCCATCTTCGTGAGACTTTAGCGAGGTATGACGAAAAAAATGTAGAAGCTCGTAACAGTAGTTTCAACGTCATCTGACGACGTTAATAAACGCCACGCAAGGGAAAGAGAGAGAAAAATGATGTGTCCTTCTTAAAAAGTAATTTTAGATTACGGCCACCATTGTTGCCTATCGACAGCCGATTAAATTACAGAGGAGAATTGCTCTTGACATAAGGGAGCGGCAAAAGAGCGGAGAGGGAGCTCTCGAATTACCACGTCGTATAACGGCTCGTCGTCTCGTACTTTTCGCGCGGATAATCAAGTTACGTCCGATGCGTCTTTATGATCCCCTTTCGTTTTTCGTCCCCTTATATTGCCTAGCTGTGACAGGCAAAGTCGTTGGCACTTTTCGTGTCTTACCGTGCGGGAGTCGTCTATCTGCCTTTTATGTGCGGCTTTTATAGGATACCTTCCCTAACTCGGGAAAAGTCGCGAAGAAAACAACGCGTCAAAAATCTAAAGTCAAATGCGTGCATCCAAGTTGCTTTCTCTAAAGCTACTAAAATAATATTCAAAGAATTTATTCCTACACATTGGCGAATATATCTGTAGCTTCAACAAGAATAATCGATATCTATTTTATAACTTGGGAGCAAAAGTACGTGACAAAATATTTTATATGAATATACTCCTCATTTTTTATCTCTCTAAATAATAAAACGATGTTTTCACTAGAGATGTTTTTTTTTTTATTTTAAAGTCCCGAGTTTTTACCAAAAACATTCCCGCATATTTTAGGTAATATTCTGCATTAACGCACATTTTCTGGGTTTAAATCGCCGA